GGAATTCTGGGAGTTGAAGTCCACCCATCTTAAAGCCGCCAAGGTTAAGAAAGATGGCTTTAGAGGCCCCGGAGGGCAGCCTGGGTTTATTATAATTTGCAAGAGTTTTCTGTACTTCTCTGGGCCATCTACTGCCCATCTAGAGGGTCCTCCCCTCCTGGCAGCAATATAGTGGGTTACTATTGACATCTTCCAGAATGTTTTGTTTTCAACCTCCTAGGCCATTCTATGTGCATTAGCATTTCCTGGGGGTCCATCTGAAGGCTCGCTTGGTCTATCCCAGCTTAGCTTTTTGAGATGGGCAAAATGCTGCCACATGCCACGTCAGTCTCCCTCATATGAAGCTGATTCCTGTTGTCACACCCAGGTTGTTTTCTTGGCCACTGTATGGAAGGGGCTTGCTTTGCTGCCTTCTGGGATTTCAGGTGGTCTCCCACCCAAAGATTAACCTATCCTACTTAGACTTCTAGAGCAGTAAAATCTCCCTCACGTCGAGCTGCACGCCTTGTGAACCCATGGATGTGCCTCCTCCCATCTAGGAGCACTGAAATGGGCTCAGGAGGGTCAATGTATCCTGTCTGAAAGAACACATTGAAACAAATGAAAAGCGAGGTGGTCTTTAAGTTGAGGCCCACTCCTAACCTTGTGAAGATGTTCCCCTGCTTTCTCATCCATTAAATTCTAGAAACGTGAGGGGGAAAAATTCCTTCCACTCCCGCTGTCAGCTCTGTATCTCTAGAGAGTCTCCTGTAGCTCTCCAGAAGGTTTGGCAGAGAAATTGCAGCACAGGCTGCCTGAAACTTTAGCTGGGGCTTAGTATGATGGAGCACTTACAGGTAGTCCTCGTTTAGGGACTGCCTCGTACAGCAGCTGTTTGCAGTTATGATGTGAGGAAAAAGTAACTTTGCCACCAATCCTTGCATTTATGACCTTTGCAGGTCTGTAAAGCAAAGGAAAGCTGAAGTAAGATCGTAAGCACAGTTGCGGTTTCACTTAGCAATCACTTTGCTTAACGACTGAGTTGCCAGTTGCAATTGTGTCGCTAAACAAGGACTACCTGTATTTTGTTTGGGCTGAAGGCTTCCCTCAGCCTTTCAGTGGGTTGCCAGGGTCTGCGCTCCAAAAAGCGCTGTGCTACATCTCTGAGACACGATTATACAATTCTTCCCCGTACATTTATATTCTGCCTGAAAAAATGAAAATTTGGTGATAACTTTTGGATAAGTTGTGGCCCTTGGGCTTAGAGTTGCCCTTAATATTTTGCAATCCAGACAATTGTGATTTATTCATAGACCATGGTTAAGTAAACTGTAGTTTACTTGTAGTCATCAAGTCATCATAGCATACTGTGAGAACTACAGCCTTTTGGCTTGTGCATGATCTGTGATTTAGCACGATGCATCAGTGCTGCTAATGTCATTATCCAACAGACTGAGATTAAGCAAGCAATGGTTTACTTGGGTGAATCCAGCCCACTGAGATAGACAGGTCCATGATTGGCTGCCAAAAGTGTGATTTTATTTAACTGGGAAACATTTCACCCAAAGTGGTGTAAAAGCTCTACGATGGTGTCAAGATACTTGCAATTTATTAGTGAATGCTACTGCTATATGCAGCAAATCATTGGTAAACGTTTTTCGCCTCCTTTTCTTAAAATTAATATGATGTGCAAACAAATACTTTGGGATGGTTGATGATTTGGGGGCAAGGTTAAGATATTGCATCACTAATCTAACAAGAGTTTGCTGAATATGCTTTTTATAATCCATATGCAGAATAAAGAAGTGGGATGGAAATTAAAAAAATGCTTTCAAATTGGAGTGTATTATTTTAAACAAAAACTATTAATATAGTAGGTTTTGGTGCAAATAATAGTTATGATTTTCTATAATGTGAAATAACCAATGCCAGTGAAAGAAGTATGGGAGTAGCTGGTGCATGTCTAATGCAGTCCTTATTCTTGGTTTTTCTCTCTGACGATGAAGTCATGCACAGAATAGAGAAAGTGGATAGGCAGAACTTTTTATTTCACCCTCATAAAAGGAATTATTTCTTTTCACAGCACATATTAAATTACAGAATGTTCTACTATAAGTTGCATGATTTATAGCGCTTTAAAAGGTGATTTAATAAATTAATGGAGGACATTAGTCATATAGCCGTATTATCCATATTATCTCCAGAAGAGAAACACTACACCTTCTGATTCTACTTGCTGGAGAACCCTAGTGGGAGCATGTAATAGCTCAAGGTCCTCTGAACAGCCATAGGCCTCTGGGAACAGAGTGCTCAATTCAAGAGGCCTTTTTAGCTGATGGAGCTGAGTTTTTTTTTCTTAGAGAAGGACTTTTCATCCTTACTTATTGCTCTGACTTTTCACAAACTGTCTCAAAACTTTTCTTCATTAAAGATTTGAGTCACGCCTTATAGCACAGGGAAGCTTCATATGAGAAGGATTCAGTGAGGTGCCAATATTGAAATCGAGCTCATCTTTCTGGGTAATGATATGATCTGGCTACCCTGCAAAAAACCAAAAATGGCAGTTTGTATGCCCAGTGGGATTTCTGACTTCTTCCCAAATCCATTTGTTTGAGGAATTCATTTATGGATTGACGTGAAGAGAAAAATACTCCTTGTGGACCATAGATGTGGTTCTGGGGTCCCTTTCAAGTTATGGAGTTTTTGAGAAGAACAATAACAGTAGTCAAAGTTCCTTGAAACGTGACTTGTTTAACCCTCCTCTCTGCTTGTTAGTCCAGCATAGGGGACTGTTGTTGTGGGGTGATTGCCAGTTCTTTTGAATCTCTGTTTTCTCCATGTGAATTTTATATGAACTTTTAGAGTGCTCTCTAGAACCCTTTGCAGAATTCAAGGGGTTTCCAACCAAATAGCAAATTGCTGTCCTAGATTGAGAGGCATGAATAAATATTGACATTAACCTCTCTCTCTGGTCCTTGATGCATTTAAAGCATATTATGATGAAAGTGTTGATGAGATTAGAAATTATTTAGAATAAATAGAAGGCATTATATCCTTCACAACCATTAGGTAAGCAGACTTTGCCTTTGGAGGGATTGGCATGCATTGGGAAGTCTAGTATCTTCCAGCCTCATGAAATCTCCACATCCAGTAAGATTGGAGAGGCAGGGTGCTTAGAATGTGGTGGGATTTATGTCTGAGAAAAAAATTAATAGACTTGGGGGTGTTGAGAAAGTGTATATAACTACTGTATGCTTTATTTCAATTCAGGATGCTTGAAGGATAACAGATATAACATTAGCTGATATTCTGTCTTCTAAAAGATTGAACTGTCATCCAATATCAATTTTGGAGCTTAATTCTAAGAAGAATGTAACCTTTTCCTCAATCCAACTGGTGTTCCTAAATATTAGTTAATAATTAATGCATTGGTCAATAGAAGTGTAGCTTTTTAAATAAAATGGCATATATTTATATGCTTAAAAGATGAACTGAGTTTTGTTGTGGCATGAAACTAACTGTATGCTTTTTAAAAATGTTCTTTAGGATCTATGAAGATCTGGAAACGCTTGTACTGACCAGAGAGAAAGGTTATCAGGTTGTAGAAATGTGTTCCATCTGGTGTAATAAAATGACTCCAGTTTCCCATGTTGGTTGATGAAGGGTTTGTTTAGAAGATCATGTTTGATATTCCTCACAGTCCTTGTATCTAAGGGATGAATTCTTGAGGTGGTGCTAACAGAAGGTAAAGTTTGTTCTGAAATTTGTGAATACTTATGAGAAGGATCACTGATAGGAACAGAAAGGAACTCTATGGGTAACTCTTGTTTGTGGAAGATTATTGGTCAACCATGGTAAAACTTGCCAACCCACTTTACACAGAGTGGATTCTTGAAGCTATACAAAAAGTAAAAAGGCAGAAGCAGAGGCCATCTGAAGAGAGAATTTGTCATGCAGTTTGTGCATCCCATGGCTTAGATAAGAAGACTGTTTCTGAACAGTTGGAGCTGAGTGTCCAAGATGGCTCTGTTCTCAAAGTTACCAACAAAGGCCTTGCTTCCTACAAGGACCCAGATAATCCTGGACGTTTTTCATCCCTTAAACTGGATGACATTCCTAAACCCACTAAAGGATCTAGGGGAACATGTAACGAGCTTCGAAATGTGGATTGGAATAAACTTCTCCGAAGAGCCATTGAAGGGCTTCAGGAACCAAATGGATCTTCCCTCAGAAACATAGAAAAATACCTAAGAAGTCAACATGATCTTACAGGTATTTTCAACAACCCTGTCTTTCAGCGGAGATTACGACTGGGGGCCAAACGAGCTGTCAATAATGGGAGATTATTGAAAGAAGGACCTCAATACAGGGTGAACTATGGGAGCCTGGAAAGCCAAGGGACATATAAATACAGTTCATTTCCAGCATCTCTCCCACCTGTCAGTCTTTTGCCTCATGAAAAGGACCAGGTAAGTGTGCAAGATTGTATCAAAGCAGGTATTAATGTGCTTTTTGTTGTGATACTTGTTTTGTTTTCTACATTATTTACTGCATTGAGAGAAATGTTTAAAGACAATGGTTAGGAATTTTGAAGTGGCTAGCAGTTTCAGCATATGCTAAAACCTCATGTCTTTGGATATCTTAAAATATTTAATATTTATTCTCCTTTCCCAAAATAAAACTTGTGGAACGGAGGATTATTCATCCAACCTAATGCACCTGAAAGACAGTCACAACCTGCTGTTGATTACGTGGTGTCAATTCTGCCTGCACTGACAGATATGGTGGCATGAGATACAGGGGCTCAGATTCAGGTTGGGAAGATTTGTTATTTAAAAGGACATGCATTTTAAATTGAGTTTACTGGTATTAAGAAATGTAAGAATGAATAATACATTTGTTATCTTTTGAAATGTTGAAGCATATATGATCAATTGGTCTACCTACTCTAGATCAACTCTGTTTTCTGCAGTATGGAGTTTGTTTCCAGCTGTGGAATTTAATGGAATTCTGAATCTCTTATTATCGATCAGATTTGTTATTTTTGTTGCTGTGGATAAGTGTGCACTAGAGTAAAGCAGCAGTGCATGAAGACATGCTTAAAGGAAATTATTATTGTACCTCCCCATGGCCCTTTTTGTTTTTTTTGTTGTTGGTTGCAAATTGTTGCCATCGACTGAATGGTGTTTTTCCTATTCCAGTTCTTGGCAGGATATGTGACTTTTTCTCCATTCTCCTCAAATTGACTGCTCAATTCAGCAGGGCTCTCAGGCTCATTTACTGAAATCTGCACTCGCCATGTGAATGCTTCCTTACTGCAGGGCATTACCAGCCATCTAATCCTTCAGCACTCTTATCAACAATGCGTAGTTCACAACTGGAACCAAAATATGAGTATCATGTCATCTTCTCCAAATTTGGGATTTTCTGCCACATATATATGGATTGTGGGCACCACATTCAGTTACTCATGCCAGTTGTTCAATCCAAAGTTTTTTAAATTGTTCAGCAAGTGTAATTTTACATAGTTTGATTATTTTTAATATGTTCCCAAATGCAGATTAATAGTGAGCAGATAGAATGAGAATGAATGGTTTTCATCATCAGCCTGCCGCGCCAGCAGGCTTCTGAAAATGGAACAGGGAATGTTAGGGATATAACGATATTTACGTATTTATTGAAGTAGAAGTGCTTAAATCAGTAAGAAAAAAAGATAGACAATGTTGCATTCCCACTTCTGGTACTGGAGAGATGACTTGTTCAGGAACTTCATTTGAGAGTGAAATTTCATGGCTCAAAACACTTTGGGCTTAAGTTGTCTGCTTCTTTCCCAAAGATCAAAGAATTGTGCTTCCTTCTTTGATTCTCAGAGTGTCTACAAATGCTTGGGCCAAATCAGCATTTGGATTTATTGGTTCATCGTGAGAGCTTGTGTGTGTTGACTGGTGCTATCTGCAAATTCTAAATGAGAACTGGGATCACCTTGCATTCTGAAGTATTAGTAGATTCCTTAATATCAAAACTTAGTTTAATTATAATCTGAAAATGAGAGCCATCTCAGCTTCCCCAAACAATATTGTTGTACATATTACAGAAAAGGAAGGATTTAAGATTTTCTATCACTTGGCTGTATTACAGTAGAGATGTTAGTATTTGTGGTAGAAATAAAAGTTAGCTGTCATATAGAAATGTTGCAAAAGTAATGTATTAAACTTATATCCCACCATTCATTCTGGAGTATCAGAGAGCATACATAGTGCTTCCTCTCTTCATATTTTCCCACAACAACAGCAACCCTGTGAGCTGAGAAAGAGCAACTGGCTCAGATCACCAGGTGGGTTTCTGTGCCTGAGCATAGAGGAGGACCTGGGTGTTTCCAGTGTCAGTCCAGCATCCTCTATACCACGCTAGCTTTTGTGACATAGGAACCACTGAGTGAGGCTCCAGTTTTGGTGACTGAAATCCTAGTGATTTTAACTCCTAGTAACTGTGTAGATACACACAGTCCTTGACTTGTTTTGAATAATAATTTACTAATTTTTCAAGGACATTCCTGCATTTTTTACCCCATTCATCCATTTTATTTGTTGTCTTTCCTTTCTTCTGCTTCCTTCAACTTTTCCAAACTTTCTTATTAGTTCATTACCCTTTTGCATCACCTGCCCAGAATAACATGGGCTCCTGCATATGGAACTTCAAGGAAGCAGTCAATGTTCATATGATGCAGGATGATTGATTGCTGCTTCTTGCAGTTCATGAGAGTTCTAGGTAGCCATTTCAAAATCCATAATTTGAAGACATCTACCTTCTTTCTCTCTTTCTGTCACTGGAAAAGCCATTGCTTTAGCAGTTCTGATCTTTATTGTCATTGAAATGTCTGTGTCCTTCATGATCTTGCTACGTTTGCCATTGCCGTCCTTTTCAGGATTAATTCCCTCTTTACTTCTCCAGCACTCTGCCTACCTGTATCTACTCTCCCACCTGCACTTCTTTGCCATCACCTGTAAATTCACTAATGTGTATTAATATTGCACTTATCATGTTATGGACCTCAGTGCAACGGACCAATTTCTGCTGCAATTTATGCATTTGCATAATTACATTACTATGCAAATAATGCACATGATGTAATTTGCATCAATTCACATCATTCATATAATGACATCAATATACAAATCATGTATAATGATGCAAATGTTGTAATTTAAGTGATGACATCACACAAATGATGTAAACCAGTTGTTTACATCATTTGATGTAATGATGTTTACTGGAATTAATGAATAACTGCCACCCCTCTGTCCAATTAGCACTTTTTAACACAGGTTTCCCTGTACCTTTATCTTCTTAAATGATAAATACTTTCACTTTCCATTTTTATTTTCATATAAGGGTCTGTTATTATACCCTATAAAAATAGAGTTCCAGTAGTTTTTATGTGTCAGGATTAACATATAAATTCAATTTAAGCAAATAAATACTTCCAGATTTTATTCAAAACCAGTACTCCGGTATTTAATTGAAAAGTGTGTTTGTTTATTTATTGCAACTAGAAGATCCAGCCCTTTTTAGGGGAATTAAACCATATCTCATAAGAGATAAATACATTTATTTTAAAAGATGAAAAATAAAATATAGAATCTCTTGTTAACTTTAAATATTAAAATACAGATATTCAAAGAGGAAGAGGATAAATTTCAGCTGTCCAAATTGCAATAAAACAGTTGTTTAAAAGAAACTTCAAAAAGGATATGCAGTGCCCCAAACAGTGCACAATATGAAGTTACTTTGCTAAGAAAAAAGTGCTGAAAGATATTGGAGTCAGATTCAAATAATAGCAGATCACAAAAAGATTATAAATGAAACTAACATCTTCATGCTCATCCTGAAGAATGAGTAAAAATTGAAACGATATCCAGTTCCCAAGTGTGTAGAGAAAAATAAAAAGCATATTTAGCACAACACAACCAGAAAGTAAAACTAGTGTAAATCCTGCTTGTATATGTTCTTACAGAGCTAGAAGACTCTTGAAACTTACATTCCCCTTGCTTCACTTTACCTAGAGTGTCCCAGCTTCTTCAAAATTCCCAAACTTTTATCAGAGGCTGTGGGGAGTTATCATATTTCTTACTCTGCCTGAATTCTTCTCTAGTTTTAAAAGGCCCACTTCATTTTTTTTTCCAGATGAGGAATTGAGGTATCTCTGTGTACGTGATAAAACACCCCTCCCCCCCGCTGTCCCTTATGTGGATAAGTATTCCATGTCTGGTTAGCAGCTGGTAATACTACAAACATCTGGCAAGCAGGCAAATTCACAAAACATATTTACAAAGTTAATGTAATTAATCTGCATTTTTGTTTTATGAAATTTACTTAGAATGTTAATAATGTGTTGAGTAGTATTTGGGAAATCCAACAAAGTTAGTTGGCTTAGATTTTAAATTTATATTCCATAGCTAAGTCACAGAAAGCGTGTTTTATATATACAGAGTTCCTTCTTTTTATTTTTAAAATAATGTAATAAATGTAATGTAAAAATACAGCAGAGTGGCTTTGAATATTTAAATAGCTGCCACTTATATTATGACAGCAAGTTTGTTTGAGCATAGTGGGATGGACTGATTCAAGCATTTTGTCCACTCTCTCAAATCACAGTTGATGAATCTGTACACAAGGATCCTGTTATCATCACCAAAATTCCTTGGTGTTGAGTTCTGAGCAACTGAGGGTGACTTTTACTAAAATTTTGGCAAATTGTTCAGAGTAAGCAAGCTTCCACTCCAATCTTCTACCTGGAACAGCTCTACTAGACAAGCACCTTAACCTCCTAGAAAGCATAACTGAGTCCTCTTATGGCAAGGCATACTCATTACACGTTTTGTAACATCTACTCTCTAGTCATCTTTTGGCTTCTTTTGTTTACATGGATTCTCAATAAATTAACAGGTGTTTTGGCCTCTGTAGCAAGTACATTTATGAGTATGTTTCAATTTCACCTTTCTCTCAAAGCTGTATGGAGACAATGGCTTTGGCAAAATTGACATTTGTTTCCAGGAAAGTATCTCCATATGTTTAAAAACACTTTAGATTCTGTAACTCCCCATGAACAGACAACAGTCCATCATACCGATTGGGAGAGCCCACTACCACCAGTGTAAGCCTTATGAAGAAGAGGTCCTTTTCTAACAAGAGAATCATAGCCCCTCTGCCTCTATATGCTTCTTCCAGTGGCAAGTAATGAATATAGGCTATAACATTTCACATATATTGGACCAACAGTTAACCCAAACAACCTAATAGTTTTCATGAGGCCCCAAGCAGCCCCCCCTTAACGTGAATGCTGAGGTCCCTCAGAAAAACCTAGTGATTTTTGAGGCTATCTTAGCCAGCCCAGCTATGTAGGTTACCGAGAAGTAGGTGTTGCAGTAATGCCAGCAGCATGCCTATTCTCTGTCTGATTCTAGATAAG